TACTTGTGTTTTATTGACTATGCAAAGGCATTTGATTGTGTGGATCATGACAAATTATGGAAAGCATTGAGAAGAATGGGAATTCCCGAGTACTTGATTGTATTCATGAGGAATCTGTACCTTGACCAGGAGGCTGTCATTCAAATGGAACAAGGGGACACTGGTAGCATAGTGCCTAAGGCACTTGACTGCTAACCAGAAGGCTGACAGTTCAAACCCACCAGCCACTCCTTGGAAGGAAGGTTGGTCAATCTTCTTCTGTAGTGATCCTGCCTTGGAAACCCAAGGAGGGGTCTCTATGAGTCAGGTCCGATTTGACGGGACATAACAACAACAACAGCATACATGGGTGTGGTAGATGATACTCTTACATATGCATTTGTATGTGCTATAAAAATATCCATATTCAGTATAAAGCAAACAAGGGGCAAAGTTAGGATAACTTCTTAGACACAACTAAGCACCTTGATGTAGTGGTTATTCATTTGGCTGCTAACCAGCTGTGCTGTGGGTGTAAGATGAGGCAGTTTACTGCCTTAAAGACTTACAGCCTTAGAAACCCAATGGGGGTTGCAATGACTTGGAATTGACTTGATGGCTGTGGGTAAGCAACTTGAGGGAGTGAGTTGCTGGACCTGTAGGCCAAGACCATGGTTACAGAACACATCAGGCTCAGTTGGCACAACATAATACACAAAAACATTCTTCTACATCTTATTTTGGTGATCAGTGACTGGGGTCTTAAAAAGCTTGAGAGCAGCAATCTTTGATGTAACTATTGGTTTCTCCTCATCTAGAGCAAAGGAGAATGAAGAAAATCAGACACGTGGAAACAGAGTCCGAAGTACTAATGGACCATTAGGACTTCAGCCTATTTGAGGATACGAGAAGAACTAGAAGGTGCCTGGCTGCCAATGCCAATCACTCAGAAGGGAATCAAAATTGGAGTCTTATATAGGAGCTCTGATAGCATAGTGCCTAAAGCATTTGACTGCTAACCAGAAGGCTGATGGTTCAAACCCACTAGACACTCCTCAGAAAGATGATGGGGCAATCTACTTCCATAGTGATACTGCTTCGGAAACCCAAGGAGGGGTTGCTATGAGTAGGGTCCGACTCGACGGCACATAACAACTACAACAAGAACATATAGAATGGGAGGAAAAAAATGTGGAACGAAATTAAAATGTGTAAAAAGACCATGTTTAGTGGTCAAATAGAAACTATCGACATCCTTGATACACCCAAGACACCCTTTGGGCCTGGAATTGAACTCTTTCCCATAACTTAACCTTCAGCTATACAGTAGACAAGCCTACAAGCTGAACTACTTACTATACCAGAGAGAAGCACTCCTTAGAACAATCAACCTTGAGAAATCAGAAGGGCAGTATTTGCGTTTGGAGAAAGGTAGGGAGGCAGGAATGCAAGGTAAGAAGGACAGAGGGAAATGATAACTGCAGGGAGGAAGTGGGAGGAAAGCTGTTGAACTGCTGAGAATGTTATCATTGTCACAAAACAAAATGTGTATAAATTGTAGAATAGGAAGTCAATCTGTTTGTACAATTTCATCCAAAAAACAATAAAAATTTTAAAAAAATGAAGACTGTAGTTGCTTTATTAAACTTTTATATATTCTAAACAGGTTAAAAACAAAAGCCACTGCCATCAAGTTGATTTTCACTCCGAGTCACAGCAACCCCCATTGTGTTTCCAAATCTGTGTAAATCCTTATGGAAGATATGCCTCCTCTTCCCCCTGGAGAGTAGCTGGTGGGTTTGAACTGCTGACTTTCTGGTTAGCAGCCAAGTGAACACATGTCATGATTTTATTTAGTTTATAAATAAATAAATAAATATAATTAAACACACACACATATGTGTGTATATACATATGTTTGTGTGTATATATATATGTATACATATATACATATGTGTGTATATATGTGCATACACATATGTATTCATGTATGTATATATATATATATGTATATGCATATGCACATATGTGATTTTTTTTCTTTTGGTTATACACATTTTGTTTTGTGACACAGATAACATTCCCTGCAGTTACCATTTCCCTCTCTTCTTCTTACCTGTGCATTCCTGCCTCCCTACCTTTCTCTTAGATACATACATATATATTCACACATATATGTGTATTTTTATATTACACAATTTTGAGAACATTAAGCAGGTTATATTATCAGAAGAAAGAAACTAGGGTTTAGGTACTTTGATTTATTAACCTAATGACTTATAGCTAATTAATATCAGAGCAAGAACTATGCCCTGTATCATTGGATTTATTTTACAATCCCATACCATAAACTTTTACACTTAGGCATCATTTTTCTAGAGGCCAAAATTATTCATTTTATTATTTTTATTGTGCAGTTTATTGTTCCAGAACAATTCTCTTGTTCACTGCAGAGGGGAAAAAAAATCTTGCTGCTTTTCTGCTCCAGAAGTTAGTGTATTTTTTCCTTGGAGAATATCCTGTGGACTACAAGAAGACCTTAAGAAGTTGGCATAAAATCCACACTCATAATATTCATAGCAAACCTTAACTGAGTGAGCAGTTCACTTTCATAGGTAAAAGGAACATTTTCTCATCACTTCTAAAATATTGTAGAAGCTAGAACCTTGAATCTATACTAGAGTACATGTCATAGTATTTATATTTGAAATATGTAATTCTAGTTAATTCAGACTTATATTAAAAATTTATCTTCCTAAAAAATAACAAAGGAAACAGAACACTTCACTATATATTTATGTCAATAGAGATGTAAATCAGAAATATGTTTGGTTTTCTTGATGGATAATAATCAGTATAGGAGCAGAATAATTAAGAGGCTGTATGTAAAAATCAATGAAATTATTGAAGGTAGAGAAAATGAGATTTCAACCAGCATTTGGGTATGTTCTACTTTGAGGTCATAATTACTTTTCTTGATGGGATACAGTTTAATTTTTAATTTTTGTTCCCTGTAAACCATTACAGATTTTGTTTTTTCAAGGTCCGTTTAAGGTAGATGAATTTAAGAAATAAGTGAAATATGTGAGGATGTTATTTTGCATTTTTACTAGGGAATACTGATTCCAGAATTATGATATTGCATACTGAAGTTGCAACATGGCTAAGTATTAGCTTAGATATAAAAATAAAAAACTAAAACAAAAAAAAAACTCACTGCCAGTAAGTCAGATCTGACTCATAGCGACCCCTCCTTGGATTTCTGAGGAGGTGTCACTACGGAAGTACATTGCCTGATCTTCCTTCCAAGGAGTGGCTGCTGGGTTTGAACTGCCAACCTTCTGGTTAGCAGTGAAATGTCTTAGGCACTATACCACCAGAGCTCCTAGCTTAGATATAGGAATCAGAGAAATCTGAGCTCGAATTACCACCCTATTAGTAAACATCTGTGTAAATTTGCTCAAGTTATATGTCCAGCAGGTTCTCAGTTCTCTCATATACATAGAAACAGTAAATTAGTTTTAGTTTACTGTGTTGATTACATATGATGATGTAAACAAACATCCTAACTCCGTGTTGCTACTTAATAAATGTGATTAATAATATTGGAATAATATACATAGCTATATATATATATCCTACTCTTAATATTTTGATATATAATAATAATGTAGTTGGTGTCATAGCTTTATTCTCATGCTCAGTATTCATTGCAATATTCTTGTGAACATTTGATACTTCGGATTTTCTGACTGTGTATGAGTTAGGAGCTAATTCTATTTTATTCCTCCCTTTGGCTCATGTTTTATTCTAAATTTCAGGATTTTAGTTTTTTGTTTTTCTAGTCCCTACAGTCTTTTAAAATGAAATTAACTCATAAAGTCAATCAATTCTAATTTCCTTAAAGCTTAGTTAACTGAAATGTCTATTTGAAGAAGCTTGGAGGAAATGTATACACCCCATACTTTTTTCTCTGTTGAGTCTCTAGTACCTGATAGTGAAGTGAATAATTGCTGTACTGGGACCTGACATGGTATAAAATATTCCTTCATTTATAAATCACATTTCTGCTCTATAGACATGATCAGAGCCATCAAATGTACCTTTATATTCTTTCAGTATGAGTATCAGGAGAATTTCAGCAAAACTCAGCTGTTTTCCTGAAAAGTTGAAAGGCACATGCAGTGGCAGAGATGCGTTTTCCTGATCCTTTGCAGCATGTAACCTTAGGATTCATTGGGTGTATTTTCAATAACATAATATTAAACGTATCTCAATGTCATAAAGGAGCCCTGATGGTGCAGTGCTTAAGGGCTCAGCTGTGAACCAACAGTTAGGTGGCTTGAACTGACCAGCAGCTCCACTAGAGAAAGATGTGGGGTCTGTTTCGGTGAAAATTACAACCATAGGGGATTGAATGGAGATACAGATGCCTCTTTGATTCTTGTTTTTTTTTTACTCTTCATGTACATTTCTTTACTCATACTACAATTAATGAGAAGCAGTCGGATGGTTAGAGGAAATGAATAAAGAAAACAAATGTTACTTTCCAGCAAAAATAGTAATTTTATTCCTTTAGCAATAACTTTCATAAATAACATCTAAGTAATTGTTGGGTGATATTTATTTTATAATTATTTCTTTAAGCAAGTATATTATAGAAATGGCCATAGTTCTAGGGTGAGACTATATCTGTGAAATTCACCCAAGGGCTTTGCAGAGCTAATGAGCATAAACAGAGGAAAAAACAAAAGCTAACTTCACTGCAGTCCAGTTGATTCTGACTCATAGTAACCCTATAGCTACTCTGTAAGACTGAGTGGAACTGCCCCATAGTTTCCAAGGCTATAATATTTGCAGAAGCACATTGCCACAACTTTCTTTCACTGGGCTCCAATTGTCTACCTTAAGGTTATCAGCCAAGCCCTTGATTCCTCTCTCCACCATCAGGATTTTTTGGAATGAAGAAGCATCCTAAAATTTTCATTAAGGTAAAACTTTGGAGAATAGTAATGATACAATGATATGCAAAGGTAAAAATGGACAAGTTCATAGTATTGGGGGAAAAAAAACCTTCAAAGAAAAATAATGTCTTGGCTTTGTTTACAAACAAAGTGCAACTCTTTCCCGAATACTATCTGCTGTCCCACTCACCAGTTCCAGAAAAGGCAATGGAATGGGATAATTAACAAAAAGGAGTAAATGCAATGGTTGGGCCCTAGAAGGCTGCCTTTTAACACAATTCGAAAGGTAAGTGTAAATGATCCTATTCTCTAGTCGTCTGATAATTTTAAAATTAAATCATTTTCACCATTGTTTGTTTACATTGAATGCAATCTTGAAAGTGAAGTGATGTTGTTCTAGTTTTACAATAGTGGTCATTAAGCAAAGATGCTCCTGAATACGATAGCAAACTCAGGGCTGGTTTTCTAGTGTGTACTTTCAATTATAATATTTCTGGATTTTAAAATCCCTCTACTTTTTGGTGATTTTTAAATATAAAATTGTGTATTTTTGAAAAAAAACTTAAGTTGGCAATTGTTTTGCATAGGATTGGCATGAGTTGGAAGTCAACTTGAAGTCGACTAACAACCACTGCATCCTGTCACCAGCTAGGATGTTGTTATTTTTAGGTGTTGTCGAGTTAGCTCCGACTCATAGTAACCCTATGTACAACAGCACTCCCTTCTAAACAACAAAGATATAGATGTAACTTTGCACTCCATTTTCACAGGATACCAAGATATTGTATGTAAGACCTATACCTATCCACCGCAATGTCAGTTTCATCATCAGTGCTGTATCCATACAGCATTCAGTTGAAGAATGTCACTGAAGTCACCATGTTTATATTGCTGGGCTTCACAGATGATTGTGAGCTGCAAGTCTATCTCTTTCTACTATTTCTGGCAATCTATATTTTTACTCTGGTAGGAAATTTGGGACTGGTTTTTTTAGTCATGGTAGATTCCCGGCTCCACAACCCCATGTACTATTTTCTGAGTGTATTATCTTTCTTAGATGCCTGTTATTCTTCAGTTGTCACCCCCAAAATGTTGGTCAATTTCCTGGCAGAGAATAAAGCCATTTCATTCTTTGGATGTGCTGCACAGATGCTGCTCTTTGTAACTTTTGGGAGCACAGAATGCTTTCTCTTGGCTGCCATGGCATATGATCATTACGAAGCAATCTACAACCCACTCCTATATTCAGTTAACATGTCACCCAGGGTCTACGTGACACTCATCACTGCATCTTATGTTGCTGGTCTTTTGCATGCTACTTTACACACTGTAGCAACTTTTCGCCTCCCCTTCTGTGCATCCAATGAAATCAGACATGTCTTTTGTGATATCCCTCCACTCATTGCTCTCTCCTGTTCTGACACTTACATCAACCAGCTTCTTCTCTTCTATGTTGTGGGGTCTGTTGAGGTATTTACTATCCTGATTGTCCTGATCTCCTATACTTTCATTTTGGTGGCCATTCTGAGGATACATTCTGCTGAAGGGAGGCGAAAAGTGTTTTCCACTTGTGGCTCTCACCTAACAGGAGTGTCAATTTACCATGGAACAATCCTCTTCACATATGTAAGGCCAAGTTCCAGCTACGCTTCAGACCATGACATGATAGTGTCTGTATTTTACACCATTGTGATTCCCATGCTGAATCCCATCATTTACAGCTTGAGAAACAAGGATGTAAAAGATGCAATGAAAAAACTGTTTGAGAGAAAATGGTTTGTAAAAGTATATTTTTAGTATTGTAAAATGCAAAAAAAAAAAAAAAAAGTTGGATGTTAGTCCATATTTCTATAGTTTGAAACTGTAAAAGAAAATGTCTTGCTTATATCCTAGAATGTTTCCAAATAAAGCATTAATTTGCCTTCCGAAGGAGAATTTTATAAGTGAAGTTAGATTGAACCATCTATATACCCATAAGATTAATTTAAATTGACCACATCAAACATTCATTAACACATGTACTATTCTATGATTATTATTTGTTGAACTTGATTTTCACTTCCTATAATGATGCTGCCCTGAGAACTGTCTGACTTCACATGTTCTCACCTTGTTATCGTACACCTCAGCCAACATGTGGAAGTCCATTCCCCTATCTGAAATCCATGCAATGACCTCCCACAGATTCTTGACCCTTATATCCTCACACAAGTAGATCCCTCTTAGCCTTTTATATATGCTTTGCTCAAAATCATAAACTCTGATTCCATTAATAAAGTTTTGCTTGTCACTGTCCAGCTCATGTAAATTGATTAGACTCATTCTGACACTACTGAGACGAGGTGGTAATGTTTACTTAGACTACACATAAGGTTCGGGAACAGCACACACAGAGCAAAGAATCTACAACTGGATGCTCTGTGTAGTTCTTTCTTAATCTTCACACATTGGCCTCCATTGGGAAATCCTTTAATGGATCTAGTTGAACTTTTACCTCTGCCTTTATTCTTTAATTATAAGGAAGAACTCTGCATTGGTCATCATGCATAAAACACGAGGATGAAGGATCATGATCCATAGAATGAAAAGAAGATCTCACATCACCTTAACTCTTTCCTGGTTTTGCCAACTCCGGATTTAATTGTTTTTACTTCAATACATGCTAAAGTCATTAAGGGTAAAAAAATCATGTTTCATTCTATGAGCCTTACTCTCTTCCTACCGGTGGTAATTATCTTGAGATTCTACCACAGTAAAAACATCTGAACTTAGACTCCAAACAACGTTCCTGGAAGAGCCAAATTTTAAGCATGTGTTTGAAGGACACCGATAAATTTCAGAACCTCAATTTCTAATCTCCTCTGATCAGTTATGCAAAAGGGATTGATACATTTCTATAGGAAGAAGAAAATATTTGATAACATAGTTCAAATCTGTACTAAAAAACCCATCTAAAAGTACTCATTTCAGAGATGTAAGAGAGACATTTTATTATATTAAAACTATACAACTTAAAGCCAAAGTAACTTAAAACCATTTCTGATTATGATCAATTGAGATAATCTTTCAAAAAGAAAGGAAAATTCTGCTTTAACAGTACTCTTAATTATGCCTCTTTTACAAAACTAAGAATTTTGATAGCATTGCTAGATCATTTTTGAAGTTTCTAATATCCAAATCAGGGTTCCAAAGTTGTTAAGGCAAAGACAGTCAAGGTTGTCACATGGTTTATCAGTCTGGTGGTCATTCAAAGGGAAATATATCATCTTCTTTTGGTAAAGGAGGAGATGTTCTAAGAATCTAGGTTTCCCTCAACTGTTGTTGTTGTTGTTGTTATGTGCCATCAAATCAGACCTGCCTCATGGAGACACCTCCTTGGGTTTCCAAGGCAGTGTCTCTACGGGAGTAGATTGTCCAACCTTCCTTCCAAGGAGTGGCTGGTGGGTTTGAACTGCCAGCCTTCTGGTTAGCCTCTGGTTAGCACTACATTACCAGAGCTCCTCATGTAATAATTAGTTTTAAAAAATCAAGATTATTGATTTTAAACATAATGCAGAATAATTTACCATCTCACAAGGGCCAATTTGCTTATTTTGCTAAAAAAAATAAAAAGTGGATACAATTTTAATTATATATTGGTATGTGACCAATGACTTGACTAGATAGGGACTTGGAGGGAACATAGATGGGAAGTTTATAACAAAGATATTGGAGGAAGAAGTATGTGGGTGGACATCTTGGAATGGACAAAAAAAAAAAATATATGAAGATATTTGTTGTGTCTCATGTGAATATTCACCAAATGGTGATTTTGGCAAAAGAGAATTTTACCACGTTTGTTCATTGAATGACCTTTTCTGTGGATACCAGTCAGTTTCTTTTCCCAGCCACTCCTGGCTTGTCCAGTGGGCTCATGGAGGAAGTGGTACTGGTTGCAGTGATGCAGGTTATATATGAGTTAAAAACAAAACAAAACAACAAAAAAACTACTGTCAAGTCAATTCCTACTCATATTAATCCCCCTTGGGTTTCTGAGGGAAAATCATTATGGAAGTGGATTGCCCATTCTTGTTTGTGCAGAGTGTCTGCTGGGTTTGAACCACCAACCCTCTAGTTAGCAGTCAGATACCTTAGTCTCTGTACTACCAGAACTCCATGCATGAATTCAGTGACATGAGTTTCCATTCATCAAGATCAACCGGCTATGTCTATTGCTGAGGGCACAATACACAAGCTACAGAGACCACCACTGAGTTGCAGCTTGGAAGCCTGTTCCATGAGTGAGCTGCCATCCAGCTGGAAGATTGATTACATTGGACAGCTTCTGTCACGGGAAAGACAGTGTCGATCTTAATAGACTTCACACTTGTTCTGGACATGGATTTGCTTTTCCTGTATACAATGATTTGGCCAAGATTACTATTCCTATAAATACAAAATGTGTAAATTGGCCATGATTAGATTACAACACTGCTTCTGATGTATAGGTTAGTATATAAGATTTCAAAGACAAGACATGACCCTATACATTCAAAGCATTTGACTTTTTTTTTTTTTTTTTCCTGATAGATCCCTGACATTTCAGTAGTCTATTACATGAAATATGAAAATTTGTCTATCTATAATCTTGTATCCCTTGTTATAACTTCTTACCCTTAGATTGGGAGCTCTGATAGTGTAGTGCCTAAGTCGTTTGACTGCTAACCAGAAGGCTGGCGGTTCAAACTCACCAGCCACTCCTCAGAAGGAAGATGGGGCAATCTACTTCCATAGTGATACTGCCTCAGAAACCCAAGGAGGGGTTGCTATGAGTTGGGTCCAGCTCGATGGCACACAACAACAACAATAGCCCTTAGATTTACTGTATAATTATGGACATTAATATCTTATTGCTTATATTAAACTCTCAATGAACTTAACAACTACGACTCATAGAATTTAGAAATCTAGGAAGTTATAAGTCAAATGAGCAGTAGAATTATTTCTATTAAACAATGACAAATTCTGGCATATATTATTCTCTCATATTATTTAATTATATACAGTTCACAGGATTTTGAGAAAATTAAGCAGGTTGTACTTCCAAAAGTAAGAAGCTGCATTTCCAGGATTCAATTCATTAACCAATGACACATAACTAATTAGCATCAGAGTTAGGACTATGTTCTGTATCATTAGATTTGTTTTCCAATCCTATACTACAAATTTTCTATTGAGGAATTGGTTTTCAAGAAGTCCATGGTACTTTCAGCATTCTTCACCAGTATCGCAACTCAAAAGTATCAAGACTTCTTTGGTCTCCCTATTAATTGTCAAGCTCTAACATGCATATGAGGTGACTGAAAATACCATGGCTTGTATCAGGTGCACCTTAGTCCTCAAGGAGTTATCTTTGCATAAATAAATAAATAAATAAATATTATTTTACATAAATTATAAATTATTTTATATAAAT